TAAATAAATAAGCTGTGATCAGCAAAAAAAAACCGACCGAGAGAGACATCTGGGTTGCCGCTGCCTGTGCTGAAAGAGAGAAGGACTTTCGGGAACCGAACCAAAAATCCTTGGAATCAGTTCGGTTCGAACCTTATTCCAAATTTAAGATATCAAATATGAAAATGGTTTTGGTGTCTTTTAAAAAAAAAATCAAATAATATAAAGTTCTACACTAAATGATGAAGATGACCCGGTAAGTCAACTGTAAGTCGGATAATACTAAGTTTGCTGGGAGCTTTGTGAACGTACCCCATCACCACAACCATGATAAACGGAAGCCACGGGGAGCTTAAGATCCCTAATTCCACACCATTCTTGCAATTTTGAAACGTCTCTTCTTTGGGGTTTTAAAAAAGTGACTATTTTTTTTATCTCACTTTTTTCAATTCCAGTCCAATACTATACTCAATAAATTTTATATTCTTTTTTTAATACAACAAACGGGAGGTAGGGATGTTGGAACTTCCAACTTCTAGAGAAATGAATATATACTATTTATCGTTGAGTTTGTCTCAATTTAGAGAGGTTTTGGTATATTCTTTAACATTATAAACATTAACGATTTACGAACCATATATTATGGTTCCATGTCTTAATTGAAGAACTAAGGGCCTTTGTGTAAATTTGGTGCCTTGGTGGATAAGTAAAGACCATGGCCGCATGAATTTTAGTTTCACTGTTAACGCATATAAAATCTTAATCCTACTATATTTGGAATTTCTCTAGTATTATTTATCTAAAATAAATAAGAAGACAAAGAAGAATGTCTAAAAATTAAGCGTTCCTGTTTTGTGGAAATTAAATGCATACAATTAACTCCATGTTTATTAGAATCTGAAAAATATTTTTAGTACATAAATAATCACAATATATCTTTTTTTTTTCTTTTTTCTTTTTTTCTTGTGAGGAAAGACAATAATATATCTCCTTTGGAACCGTTAATTTTGATAATGCATACGATAACTCCACTTTGAGTATGGAAGGAACTTTGTTGGTTGAGTGGATGGCAGTGGGCCACCTGCGGATAATGAGAAACTTAAGAAATGAAGGCGATTTCTTTCTTTCATTAGGAAGGGGTAAATTGTGTTCCCTTTTCCTTTTTGTAAGTTATAATTTTGGCCTTTGGTATGCATATCTATCTTGAGGAAAGGAAATATTAGCCATATACTCAATAATTACTTCATCTAAAAATATGTTCACACACTCTCTCTTTTAGTACGACAGCTAATTAGACACAATTACCATCTTAATACATAAATCTTTTTTTAACATGATTGAGAGCTTGTTAATTGATAAATGGTTTTATGCATTATTAGATCATTAGCGCGATATTGTATTACGTATATTTGTTACATATAATTTTTACAAAAGGCCCTATCCAGATATCAGAGGAAAAAGGTTAAGCAACATATAAACGCCAAACACATTACTCAAATACCATTCCACACGGTAAAATGCTAGATTGGTGTAAGACCAACCACTGATCTCATGGTTGTGTGCCATTTTTCAGCCAAAAAGATGAACAAGAAGAAGAAGAAAACAACTTCAAAGAAAAAGAGAATCATAGGTTGTGAGGCTCACTCTCTATTTCTAGAGCCAATTCTCTGGTCAGCCTATCGGCACGCTCGTCGTGTCCACCGGCGAATGTGTAGACTCGGTACGCGAACTGAAACGCCCTCCATAGCATCTTGGCACATCCCTTGTTCGTCCTTTCGGATTTGGCTCTGTTTTGTGTCTTCCCTGCTGCTGCTTTCAACTCTCTCTTTTCCTATATCAACAACCAAAAAACCAAATTGTTATTCGGTTCAGTTAACTAACTTTTGAGTGACACAGTTTTTGTTAGAAAACCACCTTTAGAGCCAACTCCATGCAGCTGGAGGAGACGTCCACCATTGATTCCTTGATGCGTATTAAGATATTGAAATCGAATTGAATACCGTGACTTCGGAATTTCTTTGATTCGTCATCCTTCGTTCGCTCGAGTGCGTCGATTTCTCCTTTGATCTACAGACGAAAAATTCAATGATTCATGGATGACATGGTGCAAAACATCAATTGAGTTTTTTGGAGTAAAACATATATTAAGGATAAATCTAAATAGGCATTCAAAAGCTACCTTAGTGAAGTAGTTTTCAACTCTGTCAAGAAGCTGTCCCATGGGAGAAACAATCTTCCAATTCTGTAGGTTATACACAATTGCATCTAACTTTAAATATAACGCAGCCGCAGTCCTTATAGCTTCCAACTTCTTTGTGGGAAATCCTTCAAATCTTGCTAGTACCTTACAAAATAAGAAAGTGCAGGCGGCAGGCCATATTTTTTAATAACATTTCGGATGTAACAATAACAAAATTCGGCAAGTCACAAACCTGCGATTCATCGGTTAGATGCTCGAGTATGGACTCCACATGCTTGTGGAACTTCAGCAGCTCATTCATGTCCGATGACTGGAAGGTTGAAATGGAAGGTTTAAGCTCTGTGATTGCTTTTGCATGGTTTTTAACGTCTTCTTCAATTTGTTGAAAGTATGCTGATCTGAAACACCCCAAAAGAAACAACATTTATGTTATAGCTTCATATTTCTGTCCTCTGTTTCTTTATGATCAGATGCTTATTAGTGTATGTATGCAGAGTAGTTTAACCATTTTCCTCTGTTTCTATTTACATTTGCTATGGACTCGTAGAAATATTAGCAAAAGCTCATACCTTTTTGTCATCTCCGCCAATGCATCTGCCATTCCTTGTTTTCCGCCTGTACTGCTCCCTACACCGCCTTTTCGCCCAGCCGATTTAAGATTTTGATTGGATCCCTCCACCTTCCCTTTGAGTGTTCGGTACAGATTTCCCAATTGATGAGATCTCTTCAATTTAGTAGAGGATTTCTTGGAGCGCACGGATCTCATTGCACCGCCCGGAGGAGGTGGTGGTGGAGCACAGCCATTTCCTAGGGGCATTGGAGGAGGTGGAGCTGAAGCTGCAGCTCCTCCTTTTGAGGGCGTGGGCGGAGGTGGTGGTGGTCCAACCAGCTTTACCGTCGTCCCTGAAACCATCGGTGGTGGTGGAGGTACAGCCACTTTCATCACCGTTTCTATTACATTCAACAGTTGTGGAGGCGGAGGAGGTGCTGTAGGAGCTGCTGCAGTTGGCAGTACTGTGATCTGAGGCAATGCTGGTGGAGCAGACGCTGTAGGCGCTGCTGCAGTTGACAATACTGTGATCTGAGGCAATGCTGGTGGAGGAGGTGCCATAGGAACTGCTGCAGTTGACAGCACTGTGATCTGAGGCAATGGTGGCGGAGGAGGCGGCCGTGAAAGGGGTGGAGCCAGTACTGGATTTTGTTGCATCATTGGTGGTGGTGGCGGAGGTGGTGTTGGTAGTTGCAGGGCGACTACGACTACGAAGGGTTGCGGAAAATGTGGAGGAGGGGGCGGTGGAGGAGGCAACACTGAGGCGAGCAGTGGTGATGGCTCTGATGCAACATCAGGTAATTTTGATGCAGGCAACTCTTCAACAGTTTCAGCAGCTTGGGAATTATTATCATCACTTGTCTCAGCAATGTTCTTTTGGCTTGCTGCCGTGCTCAATTCCAACTTCTCTTCTTTGATATCATCACTCACTTCAATTTCTTCCTTTGTCTCCAACTTCTCCTCTTTGATATCACCCACTTCAATTTCTTCATTTGTATCCAACTTCTCCTCTTTGATATCACTCACTTCAATTTCTTCTTTTGTATCCAACTTCTCCTCTTTGATATCACTCACTTCAATTTCTTCATTTCTAGCAGCAGCATCAATCTCTTTAGAGAGGAGCTTGTCATCCATATCCATCCTCGATTCCTCAACGGTCGTCGCCTTGTTCGAAACAGGGCAGACATTGCCTCCACAATGAGACAACCTGGGGAGCAAGAGGTGCTTGACATCAATGGGGTTCAACTTTTCCACTGCTTGAACTCTAAGAGACCACAAAAGGGGGGAACTACAAGAGACATTCTCCTTTTCTGAAGATTTCTTTTCTGATAATTTTCTTTGGCTGTTGCGAAAGTTTGCTAGGACGGAGGTGGGAGTTTCAGGAGAAGAGCAGCAAGAGCTATTGGTTTCGGAGCACGAATCCAACGAGCTCGAGCTCTTCCCGAAGGAGCTAGTTCGCGAATAAGAGGAGGAGTCCTTTGAATGAACGTATTCGTCCATCATATCGAACCTTTCATTCGCCATACTAACGATGCAATCAATGATCCCCAACACAGATTCAACTACACAAAGGAAAGTCGATTATGAACCTGATACTCTCTACAAAAACTCGAAAGAAAACTTGAAAACTAACCAATTTCATTGAAGCTGGAGTTTTCCTGACATGATGACAGATTATATTTCGATTTGTCCCTCCATTCATGATTCAGCATCCACGAATCTCCAATCGACTTCAATGCAGTGCAGAAGTAGGCCAGACTCTGATATGGAATGCAATGGAGATAACATTATTTCTTCTATAAAAAAACAGCACCAAATGATAAATTCAAGAACTCATTCCAGATATGGAAAAGAAAAAGACCTTCATAAAATACCTGTTCTATGCATGTTGCTTTCATTTCGGAATATTGGATTTCTGATATGATTTCAGGATAGAGTTTTTGAAGATCTTCCATCGTTCCCACCACCAGCTGCCAGAATCCCCCATATCACAGATCAAAGATATTTCATACCAGATGATGGTTAAGAAATGGAACAAACATTCATAGTAGGAGAAATTTGATTATAAAATCACAAGTATTTAAAAGTTCTTGATGCCTTAGCTATTAAGCAGCTGGAAATTTCAGTACTTTGAAAGAATATTTGGTCAAAGAGATGAAGTTTGAACGCAGTTATATGATCAAAAAGTCAATTTCATTATCATTAGAAATAGAAATTTCCTAAACACATTTAACTTGGAGAAGAATTCATCAACAGATTTCATAAATACCTCATTAATAGATGCAGCCCCTTCTAAAGGAGGCAAATCAATGATGTCTCTGAGAATCAAGATTTTCTTCCGCAGCTCCATCATTTGAACAAAGTTATCTTTACGTCTCGAAGACTTCTTACTTCTGGCGACTTTTGACAACTTTGGTTTCTTTGTAATGGATTTGGAGAAAGCGTAAGAAGACGAGCTCTTCATTGTCTACAACAGGAAAAGCATAAAAGCCTTGTCAGAGGTTTTTCTTCAGAGAACAAAATTTGGGTGTTTTGGTTTGATCAAGAAGGGGATTAAACAAGCTTTACAAAGAAGAAACAACCAGATGATGATGAGGCATCATAAAGTTTTGAAGCCAACTTGGATTCTCTAAAAATTTCTACAGAATCATTTTCAAGGAAAACCAAACAAAAAATATCCCCCTTCTTTTTTTTTTTTTCTTTTTCTTTTTCAT